GGGCGGGTGGGGATCTGGTTTCTGCCGGAGCGATCAAGACGTCGTCGACCCTGCCATGATGAGCGTAGTCGTTGTCCTGCCTCCCGCACCTTCCACCCGCGGAGCGGTGGGGTGGGGAGAGACTGAGGGGGTTGATGGAGAGAGGGGGAGGGGTGGGTGGCCGACGTCAGCGCGCTTACGCTTAGCGTGCTTAGCGAGCGCTTCCGGTCGCCAAAGGGGAGGGAAGGGCAGGGCCAACTGGCGGGTTAATTTGCTTTGTGCTTTGGTGGGGCTTCCTGAAGGAAATGGCTCGCCTCGGCCGCCGCCTTCTCGGCGCGTCGGCGGGTGCCATGTTGCAGGGCACCCTTATCGCTCGGGGCGCCCCTCTCTCTCTCTCTCTCTCTCTGGCGAGGTTAGGTCAGGTCGGTGGTGCGGGCGTGGTCACCTCGGTGCACGCTTTTCACTCGACGTGTAAGCCCGACTGCCCCGACGCTGCCGCACCCATTCCATTCCATTCCCGGGACCAGCAGCAGTGTGGCGGCGTCCCCACCACCCTCCCGCCTGCACCACCCGGGGCGTCCCCGGCGGCGCCTCGTGGCCATAGAATGCCGGGGCGGGGGCGGCGGGGGTGGAAGTGACCCGCAGTGGCGCAGGCGAGAGCGCAGCGCAGCCTGGCTCGACGTGGCCCAGGTCGCGGTAGGGCCGGGGCGGCGGGGAGGGGAAGGGTGCCGCCCCCTGCTGCCGCACTGCTGCCGCGAGCCAGGGCAGGCGACCAAACGCCCCCGGGGCACACACGAGTTTGTGGGGAAGATGGGGTACTTCACCCCAACTGCGAGCAGAAGGGTCGGGGTGAGCGCCTCACGTAGGGACGGGCCGACGCCTGGCAGCCCGACATGGCCACTCTGCCCCGTCTACCGTGACTGTGATCGCAGAACGAACGTACAACCCAAAAAGACGTGGTTAATGTGCAGCCCAGCCACAGCCCGCGCCAGGCGGAGGCCGTCAAGACGGAGCAGCCAGCCAAGGCCGCGCTGCCGCCTCCTCCGCCGGCCACGGCAGTATACCGGCCGAACGCAGCGACGCGTGAAGATGGGTGCCGTGATAGAAGCCATGCCACGCCACGCCCACGCATGCTACTCATCGTCCTTCAGCAGGACGTGTTCCTGCAGCCAGCAGTTGGTTAGCGAAAGTGACGAGACGAGAGGGGTCTGGGCGGGGCCGGGCGGTGCCCCCGGGCCGTCGAGCAATGTGTCATGATCGTGGGAGTGGCGGGCGGGGCGGGGCGAGGACTTGGCGGAAAGCGCTGGCCGGAAAAAATCAATGACCGTCGGGGTGTGCTGTGCGCCGCTATGTGCGCACACTGCGCGGAGGCGGAGCGGTGCTTCCCTCCTGCCCGCACACCTCCTCGCGCTGTACCTCCCTGACTCCTTGTGGCGTGGCATGGCGCGGGGCTGCGCGATGTGCAGCGGCCTGCACCGCGGTGCGTCCCGTCTCGGGTTTCGTGAGGGGCGGGGCGGGGCGGGGAGGACGGGCGGGCGCGGAGGGTCTGGTCCGTGAGGCTCCTGACGAAGCCAGGTGACACGGCGGCGACCAGCGTCCTGGAAGAGATTGCGCCAGCAGGCAGGCTGGTGCGGAGCGGTGTGTGACACGCCTCCTTCACTGACGCGCTCCCGACGGATTTTGAGATACTCCTTTCTACCTCTTTCGTTTCTATCCATCAACGCGCTAACCTCTGTGTTGTTCCCTCTGTTGTTTAGGTGCCGATGTCGGTGCCGAGCGTCCTTACGAGAGCGACGCGAGCGGAGGCGCGGGCGTCTCCGTGCAGGTGAGTAGAGATCCGCGACGTCAGCTACACCTGGACTGATGATCGGGTTTTTCGAATATTACTACCAGGTGTGCGGTTAGTTCGCCCCGCCCCCTTCCGTACTTGGACTATGAACCGCGCCGCACGCGTAGAGGGTTGCCTACACGCCACTCGTCTGGGCCGTCCGTAAGGCGCCTTGGCCACAGAGATCTGGCAAATCAGCCCTCACGCGTGGGTACGGTATACAGTCTAACGACGGAAGTTGGTAGGGGCGAGCCACAAGTCACGCTATGTGTCTATACACGCTGAAAATGTTATGAACATCTCTGGTTTTCTGACAGTACGGTAACGTTGTCCTCTTGTGCGCGCAGGCTGTCGACTGGAACGAGCAGGAGGCCCTGGCCGGGCTGGGCTTGGAGACCCAGGCGCAGGGGCCACAGGCTCAGCACCGCAGGCCGCTGCAGCAGCCCCTACAGCAGCAGCAGCAGCCCCTGCATCAGCAGCCCGGCGCCATGCCTCCGCGTGTGGCGCAAAGCATCAGCCAGCTCGTGTCGGCGCCGGCCACCCCTATCCAGTTGGCGGCCAGGCAGAACCCACACGCTCAGGCCGCCCTCAGTCAGATGCAGCTGCAGCAGCTGCAGGTGTGCGCGCCGCAGCAGCAGTACACGCCGCCTCAGGCGCAGGCGCCACCAGCCGGCCAGCTCTACCAGCAGCAGCACAAGCAGGTCGCACCGCAGGCCGCGCCGCGACCCATGCAGTACCCGCCGCACGCCTACCAGCAGCAGGTGCAGAGGATGCAGCCTCATGCGGAGGTCGTACACCAGATGCAGCACCAGCACCAGGTGCACGCACAGCCTGGGCACGCCCACCCCCAGATGCAACATCAGATTCAAGTCCAAGTCCACCACCCTGGCCAGGGCCAGGCTCAGCCGCAGGTTCACAACTCCAGATTAGTACCGTCTCCATCACCGGCGCAGGTTCAGACTCAGGTTGTCCACCCGCCTCAGCCCCAGGTGCACCACCCTTGTGTAACCCCAGTACCGTCTCCATCGCCCGTTCAAGTTCACACTCAAGTTCACCACCAGCAACAGTCACAAGTTCAGCCACAGCAAGCGATGCAGAGCCACCCGCAGATGCAGACCATGCCAGTTCACCTTCAGCCAGCGGTACCTCAGCGAAGGCCCTCCGTCGACTCCCTCGACGGGCAGTGCAGCCGACCATCGAGTCAGCAGAGCGCGCACTCGGTTCCCTCTAGGAGCACTACTCCTCTGCAAGTTCAACAAAAACAGCAACTGCCACCTCATCCTCACCCCCCTCCTCTTCTTGTAAAGCAACAGCAGCAGCTGCCTGTACCTGCCCTCCAATTGCAGCAACAACCGCACCAAGCCATGCAAACCATGCAATCGCAGCAACAACGCCAGCCAACACAAGAGGAGCATCAACAGAATCATGAGGTCAAGCAGCAGGCGATGCCACCGCTGCACCACCCCCTGCAAGTCCATCCACAACCTCCAGTAGCCGGCCACCACTACCCCCAAGTCCACCTTCCGACTCAACAGCCCAAACAGCCGCAGCTGCAGCAATCTCAGACGCAAAGGATGATCCAACTGCAGTCAAAGCCTACGAACCAGAGGCAGCCCTTACAGTCGCAACAAAGTCAACCTCCGCAGGTTCAACCCAGGCTAGCTCAAATGCATCAAGTCCAACCCCAGAAACCCCAACCGCAACCTCAGCACCAGGTCCAGCAGGCTACACACGTCCATCCCCAGATGCAAAATCGGGTACAAGCCCAGGTCCATCATCCGGCCCAGGCTCAGCCGCAGGTTCACCATCCTAGTGTAGCATTAACACCGTCTCCATCGCCCGCCCAGGTCCAAACTCAAATTCATCACCAGCCACAGTCCCAGCAAGCGATTCAGAACCAGCCGCAGGTGCAGCCCATATCAGTTCCGCCCCAGCAAGCCGTACCACAGCGACGACTCTCCGTCGACTCTCTCGACAGTCAGAGCAGCCGACCACCGAGTCAGCAGAGTGCGCTCGCTGTGCCCTCCAGGAGTTCCACTCCTCACCACTCATCACAGCAACCCCAACCTCAGCAACCTCAACCCAACCAGCACCAACTACGCCCGCAAGTTACCCCCAGCCTTCAGCATGTCAATCAACAACAGCAACAGAGGTCTCAGCTGCAAGTGAATCAACCCCAGAGGCAGATACAACCGGCTAAGCAGCCTCAACAGCAACAACAACAACAACAACAACAACAACAACAGCAGCAACAGCAACAACAACAACAGCAACAGCAACAGCAACCACAGCTGCGGCCCGGGGCTACATGGCAGGTTCGTGTTCAGGTGCAGCAGCGGCCCACCACGATCTCCCCTGCCGTGAGCTTACCCTCACCCCAGCCTCAGCCGACACCACCTCCCCAGCCGACACCCCCGCCACGAGCCACCCCACCGCCGCAGCCGACGGCATCCTCGAGCCCCGAGGAACGTGTCCCGCCATTGCAGCAGCACATGCCGGCCGCGTCGTCGTCGTCATCGTCGCCGCCGTCGTGGATGGAGGACGTTCCCTCGCCTCCTTCGCGACGCCGTCAGAACCGCGGCGCCAAGGTTTATGCCAACCGTAAGCGCGTACCCAACACCCCGTACGCCGAGCAGCGCGGCGGAGCTAACCGTGCCGGCACAACGCCCTGTCCCAACGTGGACGTGCGACAGCTGCCGCCGGCGCCCACCGTCCGGCCCTCGTTCATGGAGGATCCGAGCGGCTACCTGGCCCAGCAGACGGCCATGCTGCACAGTACCATTTCGCAGCAGCCGGCCACCAGCCCCACGCCGACCCCTTTGCCACAGGCTAGTCCTCAATCCATCTCCAGCACCCAACTGAAGACTCCCAGCCCAAGTCCAGCCTTCCAGGTTCCAACCCCCAATACCTCCCCCCATTCTACGACTGCTAGTCAGCCGAGTAGTTTGAGTAGGCAACCAGACAGCAGTGTCATTCCTTCGGAACGAAACATCAAAAGACCGAATTCGGTGAGTTGCTCTGGTGAAAGATCCAATCATTTCTGTATTTCGTCTTAAATTAAATTTTAGAATTTAATTGACAAATTATAAATTTTGACATTTTTTTCATGTATTTTGCTTGTTTTGTTTTTGTTTTTGTAGGTTGAGGACAATCCGGTTTCATCATCAACTGTCACAGATTCAAGAGACGCCCATACAGAAAGATTTTCATCTATAACTGACCAAGAGCAGAATAAAGAAAGAACTCCATCTTTGCCTACCCCACCAACCAATTCTGAGGGCAGTTTAAAATCTGAGTCTCCACTTGATACTGTTAAAAGAAAAGAAGGTGAAAATAATCCATTGAACAAGACGGTAAAACCCCCTACACCGAAGAAATTACCTGCAGGGCCTATCCAAGGTGGAACAGTTAGCACCAGTAATGGTTTTGGAAGGCTGACTCCTCAAGCAGATGCTACCTCTACTACAGTTCCATCAAGACCTTCCTCCTCTCAGGTATTATTACTAACCCTGTTTTGCCAATCTTCAGTGCAAATGTGGATGGGGCCGATCAGCTACCTAGAATATAAGTAACCAAGAAAAAATGGGGCAATCTAATTGATTTAATCTTTTCTTTCTCTTTTCCTGTTTATAGTCACCTCGTGTAACTGTGAGCAGCAGTAATGCTGTTCAATCAAGGCAAATATTGACAGTCAGGTTTGTACTTTTGTTAAAATTTCGTTTTCATTTTTATTATTTTTGGACTCTGTGAAATTCTTATTTGCGTATGCATTCTGACATAGCAGGTCTGGCCATAAAAGTCCCAAACGGCAGAGTCCAGGTGCTGTTTCACAGCCTAGTCAACTCACGCTTCAAAATATCCAGACTACAGTCAATCGGGCTATTTTACCTAATACCTCACAACCAGGCCTGCCACAAGGCACCACTATCATTCCAATAAGCATAGCTCAGACCATTCAATCTGTTGCAAGTCAGACACAAGTGACAACAATGGCTAGTGGTCATACTGCAAGTAGCAATACTATTACATCAGTATTAGCAGGGCGAAGTCCTACAGCCACTGTGACAGTATCAGCTGCTTCATCTCCATCAACACCATCAACACAGGTTTTTATCAATTCACTCAAAATTGTGCTTGATATCATATATTTGCTTGGTTACTGATATATTTCTTATTTACTGTTTGCAGACTCAAACTACAACTTCTCTACAACCGACCAGGTTGTCCATAGAAGCAGTTCAGAATATTGTCAACAATATCCAGTTACAGCTTCATCCTCAACAGCTTCAACAAATGCCACTACACCAAGCTTTGCAGTTAGTTCAGCAAGCCCAACAGCAGGCTGCACAACAACAGGCTCAACAGCAGGCTGCACAACAACAGGCTCAACAGCAGGCTGCACAACAACAGGCCCAACAGCAGGCTGCTCAACAACAGGCCCAACAGCAAGCCCAACAGCAAGCCCAACAGCAGGCCCAACAGCAGGCCCAACAGCAGGCCCAACAGCA